CCAAAAAAAAAAAAAAAAAAAAAAAACCGGCCATCTGCCTGACTGAACTGCAGTTCCAAACTCCACTGTGCGACTTTTCTGCAAAGTGGAGTCTTGACTGCTTAGTAAACTCCCCACGGGACTGGAATTGAAAACGACAGTTTGAACTGCATTTAGATACTCAAACCAAGACTGCGCCCTAGTTTTCTCAAAAAAAAAAAAGGGTGCGAAGACCCAGCACTAAGCCCACGGCACCTTTTTCTTGAGTCATTTGGGATTTTTTTTTTTTTTTTTTTTTTAATCAAACACTGCTATCATTCAATTCCAAAAGGCACGTAAAAGGGGTGATGAAAGGCTCGCGAGGGGGGCGCCGGTTCGCGGCGCGCGAGCTTGGTTCCGTCGCTACCGGCCATAGCCATCAGGTTTGTCGACAGGGTTTGCATGCTTCTCAGTTAGGCAGCCATGCCTGCCTAAGTCGAAGTCTGTAGACTAGTCTGCCAGCTCCCCATAGCCTTGAACCTTGTCACGTGCTATTGTTCTAGACTAATTCTAGACAGTTCAATAACAGGGATAGTCTATATCCAAGGGTTCTAAAGAAGAGTCACACCATTAGAGGAGCAACGGGTTGACTGGAAGGCAAATGGAGGTGGAGGAGAACCACTTTCTGAAACCGCGCGACTTTCTGCGCGAAGCTGCTTGGGGGAAAATGACGGATCGAAGGGGTGAGCTGTGGGAAGATGGATTGTGACGCACTAACCTCACGCCCAGCGCGACTTGCTGATCGGAGTAGGATGTGGGCCTGGAAGTGCGAAAAGGGGTGTGCCAAGGATTTTTGGGGAAAGTGGAGTTCCAATGTGACGCGCAACCTCACGCCCTGTGCTGTCTCTCGTTCGGAGTGCTAGATGTGCGGAAAGAGGCCCAGAAAAACAGCAAGATGGGGTGTGCCAAGGATTTTTGGAAATTGAGTGTGGGGACACAGACGGAACTGAAATCCCCCGTGTTGGTCCGACGAAGTAAGTCGATCGTCTTTCGCGCGGCGCTAATTGCGTGCGCGGAAGTTTGGCGCGAGAGGAGTGAGAAATACAAATTCAATCCAGGAAATATTGTCGGATATCCCACCTGGCTACGGCACGTCGTTTAGAACAGAAGGGCTTCGGCACGCTTCACGTGTCTCGCTTTCGTATCAAGTCCCATCGTCGTTCACTCACCAGTTCAGAATCTGACGTGGAGGGTCTTAATCGCGTGGCTCTTTCTCTATGTTCGTCCTCACTCCGCACACGGTAGTGGAAACCCTTGGATTCCTAGCGCTCAAAGCGTTGGCATTCGGTGCATAGGGTGCGCGGCCAATGGGGTTCTACTGCCGTCCACGGGATGACGATCAACTCGTTAAATGGCAACAATATCGAGTAAGGTGGAAAGTGCGTATCAATAATGACAAACCCAGCCTCTACGAATCCTGAACAACGGTTGGCCGGAGGGAAGTAGTATCGTCCGCTGATTTGTGAGACAGCTTCTCGTACGTCCCACTCGCATACACGTGTCCTTTCCTCGTTGTAGGGAAAAGGCCGTGTTGAGACGGGAGATACGAGAGGCTGGCGCCCGATCGAAGGGTGCATGTCAGTCCACATGTCAATCAATTGCAAAAATCCTGAGTCGTCATCAGGAAAAGAAAACACTCGCGCAATCATCAATCACTTCTTTACAACACGAGAGAGAGAAAAAAAAAAAAAAAAAAAAAACATTCATCAGCTTGATCATGCATGTAACTAAGGGACCGACCCGCGACTCAAGTTTCCGTAAGCCACCGCGGTGTTGATCCCAGG